AAAAGGATGAGTGAGACAATGGGTCATTTTTCTTCAAAACCCCTCACCACCAAGTACAGGCAGGACACTCAGGAGACCAGCATCCTGCCAAAGGCCCCATTGTTCCCCAGTCTGTCCGCCTGCTTTGCCATGACCACTGACTGTTTATTTATTTAATTCAGGATGACTCCTACTACAAACCCATTCATTTGCCCAGAAATGAAAAGCCTTGCTTTTCCTGATTTAGCTGTGTGAGGGTGTGTGTGTGTGTGTGTGTTCGTACATGACATTTAAGATTACTACCAAAGCTATCACCAGCTATCCACATCATTCCCAACACAATTTAGCAGAGGGGACTCAAGTGTGAGATTTGGACTTGAGTCCAACTTAAGTCGCACACAGTGCCTTCAGACCCGACTTGAGACTCGTCCTCGCGGCCACACGTGAGAGAGGACAGCAAACACCGGCAGCTGCTGCATGCCATTCAACTTCATACAACAAGGCCCAAACAAAGAAGCCCTGAATGCAAAAAATGTTAGTAACCACGTTTAGCTCAGCATTGGCCATATACAATACATTTATTCAGTTTACGTTACGCTGACTGCCATCACGTTGATTATTAACGTCGGCTGCAAATAAGTTACAGGTTTATTGTTGATCAATGTAACTTTACAGTTTTATTTAGTAAGGCCATAACGATACACTGGTTTGAGAGTCTTGGGGATGTGTTGACTGACAGTAGTTTAAAAGCTGTGATTAGTTGTAGACACATTGTACATTAGCCTACATGATTGTGCTCTGTGAAATACAGGATACAGGTTTATTGTTGATCATGTTACATTACAGTTTTATGTAGTTAACGTTACACTGGGTTTGAGAGCCTGCGGTTGGTGTTGACCTACAGTAGTTAATGAGAGATTATGATAGCATGATTTGTGTATTATTCAGGGTAACCAAAATTATTGTGTTTTGTCATATTGATCTCTGATCTATTTTATAGGTAGAAGTTTATATTAAACTAGACTGGATGTGTGTGTTTTTGGAGAAGGGAAGTTACAGGGAGTCTCTGCATGATCAGATAAGGAGACCTGAACAAGAAAACAGGCAGATGTGGGAGGGGTGGTCTGGAATGTAGCACCAAAGATCAGATCTCCAAGATATCTCATTTCAGGGACTACTGTCGTAATCTGCCCAGCAACAGCATGGTGATTCGTGGAATCGGATGACGAAACATTGGGGGCAGAGGATGTGGGCCAATCATCCACTGACCTACACTTTTGTTTTATGGCTTAACGATGTATACTGGGATGTATACTGGGTCAGGGAGAGATAACAAGTCAGACTTCATGAACTGAAGCAGCTTGTTGGTGGTCAGGGAATTAAGGAAGACTCAAATCCCAGAGCTCTGGAAGCTTTATTCATTTACTTGTAATAAAACTGATTAATTTTGACCAAAAACACCTTCTTCTATTGCTTCATTAAAGAACACATAGGACCGAGGACTACACATAGTTTAAAAAGGGTAATTTAAAGTCATGGCCCAACATTAATAGGCGGTCATTAATTGCATTGCACATTACATGGTTGTGCTCTGTAAAAGAAAAACAGGTTACAGTTACAGAATCCTTTATAGTGAAGCAGTTTTATAAGCAGCCTGGTTTGAACGCAGCAAGTGATACAACATTCATTAAAAGTTGAGAAGAGAGTTGAGACTTGACTTGGACTCTTACTCAGTGACTTGAGATTTGACTTGGACTCTAGCTCAAAGACTTATGAGCATCTCTGCAATTTAGTCAACCTCCAGGGCATTTTTGGGTTTAAGTACACATTTTATTATTTTCTTTGCCATTTCTAAAGGTTATTTTCAAGGCCAAAAAGCTTGTGTAAAGCTTTCCCTCAGCTGGATGCAGAGGGCTGTTTGTTGTTTTTGTCAGCTGATGGAAATATGGCATGACAGCTCTTTTTCTTGATATGCCATGGTGTTGTGGTGGCAGCCCGGCTGACTGTGCCACCGTTCCTTAATAAAACCTGTTTAAACCTGAGCGTTGCGTTTGGGTCCGTTCTGTCGTGACTCACAGCACCATGGCATGCCAAAAACCTGATGATCACAAAAGATTTGATAGTCTTTTTTTGGTATTATGTTTGACCTCTTTTTGTATCACAAATGTAGTGACTGTATGAAATTAATGTTGAACTTACATGTAGAGAAAGTAGAGCTTGTACTATATCATAGTAATTAATTTAGAATGTATTCATACATGGAATATACCCCAAAGTGTTCTAAATACAACCAACTCTGTAAAACAATAATACAAACTCTGGTTATCCTCTGCCTTCAGGATCACCGACTATCAGATTCTACTCCAGTCTCCAAGCGTGTTAGCCAGCTCTCCCAGCAAAGTATCCGTCTGGACTTCAACCCCCTTACCTCTGCCCTTCTTGCAAGCCTGCCACTCTATTTCTATCTAATTGGCCAGACTTGAGTCTGCTCTTGTGTTCAGCCTGGATCGCTGACACACACAAGCCTTTCACAGTTTAAGCAAACCGCGGACTTCCAAGATGTAAGGATGATGACGATGGTGATGATGACAATAATAATAATAGCTTTATTGGTATAGCAACAACAAAGTGCTTTACGGCAATCAATTTAAAACACAGACAAGCCAAATAAAAATCAGTATCAAAACAAGTCAATGTGCAATTTAGGGAAAAATTTGTTACACATCACAGTGGTTTGAGTTCAATAAATAAAACAAATCAATACACAAATAATAAAGAAATAGTACATTGGATAAAGGTTTGAGAAACAACTGGCTGAGCAAATGGCCACCAATTAAAACATTAATGTGGTTGGTCCGTCTGAAGTCCATTGAAAGTGTGCCAAGAACGGTTATTCAACAGTTGTTTCCTGGCGGATGTCCAGTTTCACGAAGAATCAGTATTTGAGATTATTTTATTTGTGACAATATGACTGAAAAAATACTTCTCTGGCACACACTGATGAAAAAGTGAACAAATTTGATAGTGAGGTTTAATGATTTACAATATTGCAGAAGTTAGTATTCACTGCAGGATTATAACAGGGTTTTCAGTTTTAAGATGGAAAGAAACACCTCAGATTGAGGGCATTGTTTCATTCATTACATTTGAATAAAGTCCACTATAGAGCAGACTAAGTCTTTGAAAATGTAATGTCAAATGTTGTTCTCATTTTCATTGTCACATAGTTACAAATTGGCATTTTAATCTTATTTTTGACTTAAAAAGACCATGAACACATGGACATGTAAATGCAATAGACTGGGGGCGCTGTTTCACTTATTGCATTTGAATATAGTCCACTATAGAGCAGACTAAGTCTTTGAAAATCAAATGTCAAATGCTGTTTCCATTTTCATTTTAATATGGTCCTAGAATGCTCACACAAGTATGTGAAAATGAAAATGATTGCATTTTCATAGAAATTATTACCTAAATAACACATACATATGTGAAAAATTATAATGTTATTGTGGGATTACATTTTCATTTTCAAGTTTGCATGATAATTTTAATTTTGTCCCCTATATTCAATTCAATTCAATTCAATTTTATTTATATAGCACCAAATCACAACAACAGTTATCTCACAGCACTTTTCATAAAAGAGCAGGTCTAGACCATAATCTATGATGTTATTTACAGAAGCCCAACAATTCCCACCAAGAGCAAGCACTAGGCGACAAAGGCAAGGAAAAACTTCCTTTTAAGAGGCAGAAACCTCGAGCAGAACCATGGCTCAGGGTGGGCGGCCATCTGCCTCGACCGGTTGGGGGTGAAGGGGGGAGAGAGAGAGAGAGAGAGAGAGAGAGAGAGAGAGAGAGAGGGCAAGAGAGAGAGAGAGGGCAGGAGAGGAACAGAGAGAAAAAGAGAGGGAGGGAAGGAGAGAGAGGGGTGGGAGGCAGCCTACACAATATACACACAGAGGTACAGACGGTAAAGGTGATGTTGCTATAGACTAAATGACTAAATGAAAAATGGTATAGATATGTATAGTAGTGTTAATGATAATAATCGTAATGTTAATGATTATAATAACAATAATAACAATAGGACTAGTAACAACAGTTGTTGTGGCAGAGGGTCTCTAGCAGGAACACGGGGGCAGCAGGTGACTCGCAGCCACAGATCCAGACTCCACAACTCCAGAGCCAGAAACACCTGCAGGAAGTGATAGGAAGAGAGAGGAGAGGGACGAGAAAGCACAAGACTACCGGAAAGGGGGTGAAGTTGTGTTAGTAACATGCAATAATGGGATGAGGTTTCATACAGAGGGAGAGAAAGTAGAGGAGAGAGGAGCTCAGTGCATCATGGGAAATACCCTGGCAGTCTAGGTCTATAGCATCATAACTAAGGGATGGTTCAGGACTCACCTGAGCCAGCCCTAACTATAAGCTTTATCAAAGCGGAAAGTCTTAAGCCTACTCTTAAATGTGGAGATGGTGTCTGCCTTCTGAACCCAAACTGGAACCTGGTTCCACAGGAGAGGAGCTTGATAGCTGAACGCTCTGGCTCCTAGTCTACTTTTGGAGACTCTAGGAACCACAAGTAACCCTGCATTCTGGGAGCGCAGTGCTCTGGTGGGGTAGTAGGGTATTATGAGCTCTTTAAGATAAGATGGTGCCTGACCATTAAGAGCTTTGTAGGTAAGAAGAATGATTTTAAATTCTATTCTGGATTTTACTGGAAGCCAATGCAGAGAAGCTAAAACAGGAGAAATGTGATCTCTTTTCCTGGTTCCTGTCAGAACACGTGCTGCAGCATTCTGGATCAGCTCAAGAGTCTTAATGGACTTTTTCGAGCAGCCTGATAATAAGGAATTAACAAATGCATGGACTAGTTTTTCTGCATAATTTTTAGACAGGATATTCCTGATTTTAGCAATATTAAGTAGGTGAAAAAGGCGGTCCTTGAAATTTGCTTAATGTGAGACTTAAACAACATGTCCTGATCAAAGATAACTCCAAGATTCCTCACAGTGGTGCTGGAGGCCAGGGCGATGCCATCAAGGGAAACTATATCTTTAGATAATGCGTCATAGAGGTGCTTAGAGTTCATTTGCGCAGAGTCAAAAACTTTCTCTTGAGGCGCCTCCCTGACGTTTTGCCTAACATTCATATGCATGCCTGGTTGAATATTCAAATAGACAAGCTTTATGCTTATGTGCACTACGTTTCTGTTCTATTCTGCTTTCATGGCTCTTTCTTTCTTTCTTTCTTTCTCTCTCTTTTTCTCTCTCTCTCTTTCCCTCTCTCCCCATGATGATGCATTAAGGTTTATTGGCTAAAATATCGGGGGCTATAGATTGACTCTGAACTATCATATAAAAAGCAAATAGACTATATGTGTAAAAAGGTTTGCTGTTCTATCTGTGTTTTGTACAGATCAAAGAACTGTTTCACCATGAATGTAAAAGAGAGGCTGGTATCCCAGTTGTTATTGCATGTTCTCGACTACAGAGATATTGTGTAGCCTATCAAAATGCTTCAAAAACTGATTTAGCAAAGGTTGATATCACATTTAATAGTTTATGCAGATTTATTCTCACTTGTCACTTTCTGTCCTGTTATCTCGGTGTCTGCCTTAGCTTCTGTCTGTGTTCCTTGTTGGTGTTAGTTCATTTGTGATCTGTCCACTTGTTTATATTACTCTGATGTTCAGTGTTGAGTAACTTGTGTTTTGTCTTTTCCCCCCTCAGTAATCTGCCTGCCTGCTAGTCTCCGTTTTCCCTTCTGTCTCTCTGCCTCGTTAACCCTGATCCCAGTCACCTGTGTTGCTCCCGTCCTGCTCGTTAGTCACTGTGTATAAATGTCTGGTGTTTCTGTTCATTTCCTGTCCAGTCATTGTCTTGTGTCAGTCCTGTTGGATGTTGCTGCTTTTTGGATGTACCAGTTCCTGTACTCGTGAGTTCTGTTCATGTGTGTTTGGAACTCAATCACAGCTCACAGTGTCATGCGTTTGGGCTCACTCCTGCTGCACTCACTCAGCAAACCCTGATAATATGTACTATGTAGGTTTTACTGTATGCGGGATGACACTTTTGTTACACAGGGTGCAGTTCATTGTTATGGAACATTTTTATGATGAGGCTTCTACAGTAAATACAGCTGAAGTAAAAACCTAGCGTGTTGATCTGATTTTTCTGTTCTGTCACAATGTAACTGTCAAACCATAGAGGTTGATTGCTACAGTCACTGGAAAACTCAAGTCATTTTACAATATCAAAATTATGGATTGTTTCATAACTTTTAAACACATGTCTCTTTTAACAGTATATAAACTTCAAACTATTTCAACTTGTATCCAAAACAGAACTACGCAAACAGGCAAACATCTCTCTCTCATCTGTACAGCGTTCCTTACCAACCGCTCCATGGTGGTGGCTATAAACTGTCCATGAGGAAATGATTTGAAAAAGAGAAGCATTTGGAAAGAAAAGTGACACTCTCCTGGGATGGGCTGTAAACCATTGTGAATTGCCACATTGCCCCATATAATTGCAAAATGTCTGGAATCTGCCTTACTTGTATCTTTTCCTCACCTGGCACAAATCTTTCAAAAAGGTCATCAAGGAATAAAAATAGGCACTTATCCTGATTATTTTTCTTTGTCTTTTTATTTAGGTTTTCAATGTAAATATATTAGTTTTTACATGTAAATATGTGCAAAATGAGTCTAAATACACAGCATTTTGGTGGTGGTTGAGTTTATGAGAAAACCGTTCATGAAGTCTAGAAAATTTGAATGTCAAATCAAGAAAAGGTGATCCACAGTTCAATCAATAAATTAATCAGTCATCAGTTCCAACCTCTCAGGGAAACTCCATTGTCTGTACAGAAGCAGGCACACACCTGTGCCTCTAACAGTTGATTTACAGGGAGCACTCAGGATCTCTCTGGAGGCATGTGTTTGTGTGGTTAGCAGGTATGTCTTCTAGAAGGTATGCATCAAGGCTGAAAATGTATTAACTTTTGTGAACATGTCTTAACTTGATTTCATTGCAGGCATTTCAAGCCACCTGCCGCCTAGAACCTGTAGACTGTATAGCCTGTTATGCTAGAGTTCACTGCAGAGAAGGCACTGGAGATTGATAACCCTGAGGTAAAAAGAGGCTCTCTAGTAGAGCTATGCAATTTTACTAGTTTGTGTTTATAGGTGGCTTTTGATAACATGACTGACATTGCAGTGGCCCTGAAAGTCCAATCTGTAAATGAGGTGGAGCCAGAGCTGGGTTGATTGTTTACTGCAGTGTTTAAGTTAAATATCTGTAAGGTAATTAGCAGGTATGTTTAGTAATTCATCTCTTGTAATTTCAGGGTTGTATAACCACTGCTGTTTTGCCTGCCTGATCAATTGTTATTAATCATCATGCTTTTTTTTTTTTTTTTTTTCACAAATGACTTAAAGTTCAAGAGAAGAAACAAGGGGAAGGCTTTAACTGTATAACATCAATTCATTACTGAATAAAACATAATTAAATCAGAAGTATTTGAAAGACATCTTAACACACTGGCCACATTATAAAATGGCTTGTTTCACCTGACTTGCAGCAGTAGCTGGTGACACAATAAGATACAGTACCCTCTATTGGAAATGTTGAATAAGCAATATATAGGATGATTATCATTCACAAATCTCCAAAGACAGTTCAGCTTGATCATAAAATAGAAAAGATTATACATGTCTAAACATGTAAAAATGTTTGTGATAAGGAAAGCACTCATGTGACATGTAATTCTTTTCTGCATTTTCCACATTATCTGAGCTGGAGAGTGCTGTTTTATCTATTTTTCTTTTGTATTTTTTTCCCCCTGTTATGTAAATTGTTAAAGAGCAAAGAGAAAAATAACTTGTTTTAAAAACATGAACAGAGAAATAAAAAAAACAAAAACAAAGTGTACCTTTTCTTCACCTGAAGTCTTTCACAGAGGTCATTACAGTAAGGAATAGAAATAGGCGCTCAGTGTCCTGATAAGGAGTTCAGGCTTTAAAAATGTATTTTTCTTTTTAGTTAGGTTTTGAACCTAAACGTAACCGTTTTGGCAATAGAATGCAAACATCTGGAAAATGGAGTGAAAATACAGTTTTTTGTGTTGGTTTAGTTTGAGGTTCCCGTTACATGCTTCTGATGGTATATCAACAATAAACAGTTAAATCAGACAAAAGGAAACATTTTTACTATATAGCCTACTTAATCATAGTAGAAGCACAAAAACAAAGCACTAATCGCCAAATCAACAAAATCTAAGCCAAGAAACGAGAGCTTTGAAGAATGTCGTAGAAGCACAAAAAGGACAAAAACAAGTCATTAATGTGGGGCAGGCTAACGTTACAGGCTTCGCTGCAGAAATGCTCCTGAGAGGAGAGGAAGGGAAAGTAGTTCCTATCAACTGAGTATAATTAGACCATACTGGTGATAGTAAGATACTTATAAAACACACACTCACTCCAAATGAGTGTGTTTAGATATCGATCCTGGAGCAGGACTCGTTGGTATCAGAAATATCAATACTTTAGGATCGATCCGCACATCACTAGTCCACAGCAAAGTGACCCCCACCAGTGTGGGCCCTGGGTTGGCCGCTCCCACGCTACCTTTGTCTATGTAGGCTATAGAAAGAAAGAGAAGGGCTTTTGAGTTTAATAAAAAAAAAATGTATTCAGGAGAAAATATTTAAAGAGCAAATGTGTATTATATATTCAGAATAAGTGTGTTATTCTGAACAACATCAATTTATAAACCATCCCATACAGACAATACCACCAGCCCACATAACAAGAGCTACCCCCAGGGAAGAAGACAGTCAAGATCACTCTGTACCTGCACACAGGAGACAAACAGAAGACTCTTGAGCCTAGTGTGTGGCTGGTTAAATAGTTTGCAGATGGATGTCATGCCCAAGCACACCTGTCTGCCATTAGTCCATACCCATGCAATTAACCCAAGTGCAAAACCACACCCACCAAATGCACACTCACTATAAGTGCTCACCCCTCACACTACCACTGCACTCAAAATTGGCTGATACAGGTCTACCCCGTTACACACAAAGCACAGATTACTCAAAGTTTTGTAGGACTATTGTAGTGAATTAGGCTACATCACATTTTACAAGGTTTTCTGTTTTCATGGTCAGAGTCTATATTTAAAATAAAAAGAAAACACATATGAATCTTTATGTTTGTACAATGTTTAATTGGAAAGGGCAAAACAAAACATCAAGTCACAGGCTTTGCTCTGCAAATACTGACTCTGTTTGACCAATGTCATGTGGTATGCATTAAGGCCAGATGTGTGCCTGGCGTGTTTACACATGAGCACTGAATGTTTCAACAAACATCAAAGCAGCTGTTTTAGGAAAAATGTGAGGGTGGGGTGAAAATCTTCTTTGTCTTCATTGTAAGCTTTTTGAAATTCTTAAGTTTGTCTTTGTTGGTTGAAAAACTGATTTCAAAGCATGAACTGAAGATTTTTCTCAACTGATAATTAAACATGTAATGTGATCATTCATATAAAAAGAGTAATATATTGTTTAGTTTCATAAAGTAAATAAAGTAAAAAAAATGTTAGATCCAATTTAACAGCAAATCAGTAATGGAAATCAGTATGTTCTGGACCTTTTTTGTCCCTGTATCGTCTGAATGCAAAACAGCATTTCTCCTTAAAATGGAGAAGGACTTTTTAAATAAAAACAGCCAATACATATTCCCAGACAGCAGAGGTGTGGACTTGAGTCACAAATATGATAACTTTAGACTCAAATTGACAAAATCAAAAAAGACTTGCAACTTGATTTTGATTTTAACCCTACTGGCTTGTGACTTCATTTGGACTTCAGCCTTTTGACTCGAACCGACTTGATACCCTCCCCAAGCCCAAATATAAATTATGATTCCCTAGATGACTGTTATGTTCTTTTATGTTCTGTTATATTAATTTCTTTGAGACACTGAAAGTAATGTGAGTATAGATTATATTTTTCTCCAGTTTGTGATATTGTATGACAGCAATCACCTAATTAAACCACTTCCTCCACCACCAACTTGTAGAAATACATTCTTTAAGGATGTTAACCAGAGCTAAATTTCAATCAGGAAGATTTATGTAAAATACAGATGCAGAAGCTGTTTCAGAAATAGTGATATATATGTCATGACTCATATTAACATGTTAAAAGGTACATAGGCCTAACTACAGTTGGATTACATATGGACTTACAATTCTCTCAAAATCAAGATTCTGATAATAGATTCCAACATCAGTCATATAAACTGCACAGTCAGCTCTGTTGAATGATGTGAGTGTAAGCAACAATATTATTTAAATGTGGCGATAGTTAAATTACTGTAGCTGCTCTAAGTTGCTAAAATAAAGTACCAGTCATGGGTCACTGAGCAACTACACTGGAAAACAATAAAGTTCAGAGACCAATCTAGGTTTATCTAGTCAAGGAAAATGTACTTTGTCACTACTCTGGTCTCATTGAATCAATAGTCTCTGACATCATAAAATGTGATCTTGTAATTTTGGTCAAATGAAGTCTAAATTACAGGTTGAAAAAATCTAAAAACAGACCCACAACATAATAAAATGTGTGCACAAAAAACTTACTGATTGGTTTAATATCTGAGTCTGTATCGAAATTGAACGTCTCTGGTAGGTTGTATCGAACCAAAGCCCCATCGCCTGAAGTCAAATTCAGGTATCTTCTCATCAGGATTCTTCAGCTCAATCTCAAAATAGACCAACATGAGAAAAGCAAACTGTTTCAGCTCATTAGTGGCAAAGAAACGACCAGGGCACATGGACACCCCAGCACCCCAGGGCATGTTGTAGTACTTCACCTTCTTCCCTGCTTTGTAAAAGTCAGTTTTCTTCATCCCGTCTGGATTCAGAAAGCGGTCGTATTTGAATGAATGTGGGTCAGGGTGGATCTCTGGGTCAATATGAACGGCACTGTAAGGAAAGACTGCCACTCTGTCGCCCTTGCGAAGGAAGTATCCGCGCCCATCAGCCATCTTGAGGGTCATGTCCTGAAGCACTTCTCTGGTGAGGAGGGGTGAAGCAGTGAGTCGGAGGGTCTCCTCTACAGCACTGTCCAGGATTGGTGTTTTCATCAGCATTTCATGCGTCAGGTTGATTAAAGGGCCACCACGTAGGACTTCCTGCCCGGATTCCTTCAGAACCTTATCTATCTCTCCCTTCACTGCTGTCATGGCTTCTGGGTTTTTCATGAGGTAGAGGAGCAGCCAGAATGCAGAAGGCCCTGTGTTGCCCTGAGAGGCCCAAAGAAGCACAAACATGTACCTGTTTATCATTGACTCATTCATTCCCAACTCCTCTTTGGCTTGCTGTATCTCCCACACCCAGCGACTGATGTTGTCCTTGGTCTTCATCTTCTGCACTGACAGAGAATTCCAGAAGAATCCCATTAGTCTCTGTGCTTCCAACCTTTCCCTTGGTGGCAGGATCCCATAAGCCAGGTTGGGGAAGAGTTGGTCATATTTACGAAATTCGTGAAATAAGGCTTCTGATTCAGCACTGTCTTTCTCTTTGGCTTTCTCCTCACTTCCCTCTGACACATTGCCATACAAGG